AGGCGGGGAGGAAGCAACTTACCCCTCCCTCTTCTCTTGCCTCCTCCTGGCTGAATGAGGGCCGGAAGCGGGGTGGCCGGAAGCAGGGGGCGGGGCTTCGTCATGTGCCCCGCCCCCTGCACCTAACCCGGGGGAACTGTGTTCCCCCGCGTTCCCCCCCGAAATGACCTCTGATTCTAACCCACATTAACATGCCTACGACTAGCTATGTCTCTTTTAGCAGCTTTCATCATTACTGCCTTTTACTGAGCAAAAGTTGGTGACAGGGAAGGGGGGGGCACAACTCTGCATGCCTCAAAGCCTTCCGTGCACCTTAAGTTTTGATGGAGTAAATACTACCAAGACCAGAGACCACTCAGCACCCATTCTTATATGCAGACTGGATTTAAGCATGACGCTGGCTAAGCAAAAGAACTTACCTGCATGACTCCGCACACACACAATATCCTTATTGAACTTGCACTGCTACCTGTGCAAAGCAGCTATGCATAAAATGTGGGTGCACCAGAGAGCCATAGCTCAGGTGGAGGCTATTTATTTTGATATTTGTACCCCGCTCTTAGCGGCTGCGGTGGCTCAGAGGTTAAGACGCTGAAGCTGCAGGCTGGAAGGTCTGTAGCTCAGCAGTTCGAGACCTGAGTGCCGTGTGACAGAGTGAGCTCCCATCTCTGGCCCCAGCTCCTGCCGACCTAGCAGTTTGAAAGCAAGAAATTTCAAGTAGATTAATAGGTACTGCTTCGGTGGGAAGGTAACAGCATTCCGTGCACCTTGGTGTTTAGTCATGTCAGCCACATGACCACGGAGAAGTCTTCAGACAGCGCTGGCTCTTCGGCTTGGAAACGGAGGTACACAACACCCCCTAGAGTCAGATTCGACTGGCTTTCGCGCAAGGGAAACCTTTGCCCTTATCTCAAGACGGGACCTTAAGCACCAAACAATTCTGTTCTATTTTATCCTCACAATCACCACCCTGTAAGGCAGGCTAGGTTGAGAGACAAAGAATGGTCACCCAGCAAGTTTCCATAGCAGGGAGAGGATTCAAACCCAGGTCTCCCAGATCCCAGTCTGGCACTCTGACCACTAGGCCGTCTGGCTGTCAACACTGGCTGCCTTGCTAACACTGCATGCATTGCTACTTTACACAGATTTGAGTTCAGTAGCACCTTAGAAACCAACAAGTTTTGGTGGGTATGAGCTTTCAAGAGTCAATGGTCTGTTTATCAACAGGTGGATTGGCCCATCTAGCCGCCTGGTTAAAATGAGGTGAGGGGAAGCACGTGTAATGTCACATGTCAACTCTTGTGCCTTCCCAGCATCACATTGAAATCAGGCTTTGGTGTTGTAGCACAGGGTAGTTATTGGGTGGGAAAGGCTAAACCTCTTCCACCTGCGGTGTAAATCACCAGCTAGCAATGACAAATGGAAACTCGACAGCTAAGATCACGTTGCAGACCATGTAAGGCACCATGGAATCCTCAGAATCTCAGCTGTCAAATGTGAAATGTTTCTATTCCTCAGGACTGTACAGAAGAGGCTCAACGCTGGTTATCAAATTTTGCTAGACAGAGGAAGCTAACGAGGAAAGTTCTCTTCTCTTGTCTTCAGCATCAGTCTTTTTCTGATGCCCGTATTCTACTCAGATTTTGCTTCTTGTCCTTCATACAAAATTACAAATTCTACAAGTTCTGCTAGACACCTTCATGGGCAGTATAAACTATGCAAAGTAAACCTACACAGAGACCAACAAGTTTTGGTGGGCATGAGCTTTCAAGAGTCAATGGTCTGTTTATCAACAGGTGGATTGGCCCATCTAGCCGCCCGGTTAAAATGAGGTGAGGGGGAGCACGTGTAATGTCACATGTCAGCTCTTGTGCCTCCCCAGCATCACATTGAAATCAGGCTTTGGCGTTGTAGCACAGGATAGTTATTGGGTGGGAAAGGCTAAACCTCTTCCACCTGCGGTGTAAATCACCAGCTAGCAATGACAAATGGAAACTCGACAGCTAAGATCACGTTGCAGACCATGTAAGGCACCATGGAATCCTCAGAATCTCAGCTGTCAAATGTGAAATGTTTCTATTCCTCAGGATTGTACAGAAGAGGCTCAACGCTTGTTATCAAATTTTGCTTGCTAAAGCCCTTCTTAGCTGACTTTAATAATCAGGAAACAGTTACTGGAAAACATTCAGAGGGGAAGAGAAGGTTGGAATATTTAACAATGCCATGCTGAGCAGCGTTATGCCTTTACAGACATTGCACAAAGGTAATTGGACAATACTGTCTTGTTGGACATCCCAGTCTTGTTGATTTAAGTTGTCTCCCGCAGTGTAATCCACCTCGAGTCTCAATGGGAAAGGTGGACTATAAATGACATAAATGAATGCAAGACCACTGAAGTCAATGGGCTTAGAATGGTGCAACCTTGGTTACGATTGCAGCATGACTATCTTTCTGTCCATCGACTCGTTGTTGCCAGCGTTACCAGTTTCTTACCTTATCCAAATCATAGTAGAAAGCCTGAAACAACAACAACAAGCCAAATTAGTATACATGAGCATATTTAACACATTTCTGTATTATACAGAATTTCTGTGCTTGGAAGAGTAGCTCCCCAAAGCGGTTTTAATGCAACAGGATGCAATCCAATTCTACTATCTGGCTATGTGTCAAACTGTTTGGCTTGACCATTCCCAAACTTGCCTTTGCAAATATCCAATTCATTTTCTCAGGATGTCCTATATGGTTCTCCTCCACTTTATACTCACAACAAGCCCATGAAGAAGGTTAAGCCTAGAGAGAGTGTGACTAGCACAAGGTCTTCTACTGAGCTTCATGGCCAAATGGGGATTTGAAACTGGGTCTTCCGAGCTCCAATCCGACCCTCTGCCCACTCCACCGTGCTGGCTGTCTATGAAGCCTCATGGGCCTTCTGTGTTATTAAGACCTGTGATAGCCTTCGTTTTTGACCATGACACTAATTAAGATGTTCGGGGACTACACAAACACCCAACCAAAGGCTGTACATGAACATAAAGGAGAGACTGGATTTTAGAACAAAGAAAGCACATAGGTGTTGGGTTCACAGACTGAACACATGAAACTTCCTTATACCAAGTCAGCCCACTTGGTCCATCAAGGTCAGTATCGTTGTCTCTGACAAGCAATGGCTCTCCAGTCTTTCACATCACCTACTACCTGATGCTTTTGAACTGGAGATATCAGGTACCAAACCTGGGAGCCCCAGCCCTCTTCACTAGGTTATCTTCTAATAGCCTCTTGCCCCAAGGGTCCCCCCCCCCCACAACTAAACTCATATATGGTATCCAACCTCACCTGGGATGAAGAGTCGGCAGGGAGAAGAGCTGAAGGAGAAAATGTATAGCCCCCATTGCATGGTCCAAAAATACGGAGCTCCACATTACCCCATATACAGTCCCAAGGTTTTTAGAAATGAGTCTGCCCCATAACACCTTGTTTGGCCCTAAGAATTTAATTCTTGCACCACTGGCCCTTTGTGGTACCCATGCAGTGGGGGGAGAGAGAGAGAGAGAGAGAGAGATTGTGTGTGTGTGTGTGTGTGTGTGTGTGTGTGTGTGTGTGTCTCACATGAAGGTCTTGATTCTAAATGCCCCCTACACTGAAGTTTGAGGCGGGAACCTACACATTACATGCTGCTCTGCAAATAAATATATATATATTAGAGATTAAGTGCCTCAGAAGGTACAGCCACACTAAAAATGAGCAAAGACAGAAAGGAGCCCTTCAGCCACCTAGCCAAGCACAGATAACAACGTTTCCCAATCTCCTAAATGTGGTCAAGAGACTGAAAATGACCACACACCTCTGGGGTATATCTCACGCAAACTGTTCCCCTTCCCTTTTCACCTTTAGAGGCATTAACGACATTGATGCCAACAACGCCAGCATGTTTACATTTTTTAATGATTTTGAAACTAGCGCTTGCGAACCAGTTAACCCTGGATTAGTAGCAACCCTTTGGGCTTCACTCAGATAATAAACTACACAAACATTATGGGAGGTCACTGGCCTGAAATCAGTGAACTCAAGGAAGTGGGAAGTGTTTTTATTAAACAACGGAAGTCCTGCTGTTGCACAGGAAGAGTTCCAGGCGTATGGTTATAGATTCCAATTGACTTCCATGGAAGAGTTAAACGTATTTAACAGTGAATTCTGCTCTTGGTTCTCAGATTCTACCAACTACACATCGAGGTTGGTTGTGGGGGGTGGAGCCGACTAAATTAAAAAGCTTCTTACCAGCCTGGAGTTCCTTCTTGTGTCTTTGTGGCACCCCGACAGATAATCCAACTCTGCCTGATGCATTTCCAGATATTCGCTAAAGAGAGAGGTGAATGCAAGGCAGGTTAGGTTGTATTGCAGAACAATTTACACAGCAATCAGAAGCGAGTCACTGTTCCCGGGTTTACATGGTGGTGCTTTCAGATAAGTACACCCAACTCTTCAGTTCATAGACTGCAGAAAACAGGGAGAAGAACTGCAATCTCAAATACAGACATATCAGATCTTCTAGTTAAATGCGGTGAGGAATGAGGGGGGTTCAATCACATCCAACGAAGGGCAAAACTAGGTGTGATGCTGTTGAAAGAGTTGAGTAGGGTTCAAATCACTTTCTCAGCAGCCACAAAGTAGCTGTGGAGAATGTCATTTTAAAAATCAGCAGAAGAGGAAATGTGTGCCATTTCCTCCTGGCAAAATGGTACTGAGTGAAATCCAGGACAGTGTTCTCTGGGGCTAAATTATACTTTGCACATTTTAAAATCTGGAATCGTAAGCCACCTTTTGTTATAAGGCAAAGTATTTTAGTGAATCAATACTAAATCTATGTTCCGCCTTTCATTTCCAATAGAAAAAAAAACCCACTAAAAGGACACTGATGTGGTATATGATTACAACTGCCAGAATGACATATGCTCAAAGTTGGAAGCAAGATAAAGTCCCGGAGACTGGAGATTGGATTAAAAAATTACTTTTTATGGTTGAAATGGATAAGATGACAAGAAAACTTAACAATATGGAAGCAGAAGACTTTTTAGCAGATTGGAAAGATTTAAAAGACTATTTAGGGAAGAACTGGGATGTAAGAGACAACTTATTTTGCTTTAATAATTATTGAGTGTTAAAGTTTAACAATATGGAATACGAAATAGAGAAATTTATATATGAAGAGATTAGTTACCTATTGAACTTACAATGATAAAGGGAAGGAAGAAGGAATTTAAGAATTTTGCAGGAGGTTGTAGCACTGTGGGAAGCCATGTGGGGGGGGAGGGAGGAGGGTATGATAAAAATGTATTATAAATGTTGACTTTGAGTGTTGATATCCTAAATAAAAATTGTTTTTTAAAAAAAAAAAAAAACACCCACTAAGATGGCTAACGAGAAAATACATATAAATTAATGAAAGGTCTGAGGAAGTGGATTAAAGCTGGAAAGAGAAGAATGACGTGCTTGGGTGAGTCATTCCCAATCTCTTAAAACACAGGAGACTGGGAAATGTCACAATCTTGCCCCTGCAGAATGGCGACTTGGAAGGGTGCCTGGCAGTTAGGAGAGGCACCCCTATGGAAAGAGCCTCGCTCCTCCTTGGTATCTGTCCCTCTCTTCTTCTGAGTTCAGACTCCCTCCACCATGCTATCCTTGTAACAATCCTGTGTGACACAGGTTAGGCAGAGAGATAGTGGCGACCTTGGGCCAAGCCCATCCGTTTCACAGCAGAGTGGGGATGTGTACCCAGGACTCTCAAATGTTTGTATGAAAGGACAAGGTGTCATTAACCCTCCACATGCTCAGCATTTCCCCACCCGCCGCACGCTCACACCCTGTCTCCGCCAAGCAAGCCTTATTTCCAGTCTCAGTGCCTAGCTGGGCAAGAAAGGTAGTCTTGAAGTAGAGTAAAAGCAGCCTTGAATGAGCCTGCCTGGTATTTCTCTCCTACAAATGCCCCCATCCCCGTGTTTGGTCAAGCACGTCCTACTGCCTTGAGGAGGAGGAGGAGGAGGAGGAGTTTTTACAGCATTCCTCTGAATGTACTGCTAAATGGTGGCTGGATGAGGCGAGGTTATGTTGCTTTTCTTTCATTCTGTCCTTGCCGATGGGAAACATGTAGTTTGCAGCAGGGCAGATCAGATCCTACCAGTTTTTTACAGCTGCAAGTGGGGATGAGGCTAACTCACTGACACCCGTTTCCACTGCATCCACCACGCCTGTCTTTTTGTTCATGAGTCCTCCAGTCACTGGCACAGTTTTATTGGGGGGGGGGGGGTTCAGGCTGTCAGTGGGCTGCTGGTGGAAACGGGGGGGGGAGGAAACTATCTACTTCCATCAGCAGAAAGTTGGTAAGATCCAACCCTCTATGGCCAGGTTTGTTGCTTTTTTGGGGGGGGGGTGTCCCATTAAGTCACAGCTGACTTAGGGTGACCCCCTGTGGTTTTCAATACAAGAGACATTCTGAGGTGGTCCGCCATTCTCCGCCTCTGCATTGCAACCCTGGTATTCTTTGGTGGTCTCCCATCCAAATACTAGCCAGGGCCGACCCTGCTTAGCTTCCAAGATCTGATGAGACTGGGATACCCTGAGCCACCCAGGCCAGGGCATATCCAGATTATCCATTTCAAACCCTCCTGAAGACACCAGAGTTCTCAGGTTTTATTTGGATCTGATGTATAAAGTAACTCCAGACTTAGTTTCCTCCCAGTACCGCCTTCTTCTTTCTCTCAAAGCAGTACCACATCACCTTAGGAAAGAGCTTGCCATTTCCTCACACAATTCCTCTGGGGCAGAGACAGATTCCCAAGGATATTCATGTCAATCACTAGTTACTAGTCATAGCGACTAAAGGGAAACTCCACATTCGGAGATAGTAACCCTTTGAATACCAGTGCCATTAGGCAACACCAGGGGGAGTCCTCAGACTCTGTGCCCTGTTGTTGGCCCCCCAGGGTAACTGGGTGGCCATTGTGTGAGACAAAATATTACACCATATGGACCACTGGTCTGATCCAACAAATCTCTTCTGACTTTCACTTGTCACTTCTAGTAATCTCAAGCATATCAGGTGTCCTTCAGAAACAATGCTGCTTAAGGAAGTTTAGGTTCCCCCCCACTTACCCTGCATTTTCCCTCCTTTTACCCACTTTCAAAACACAAGAAAAATACCTTCAATCATCTCCACTCAAGTTCTCCAGCAACAGAGGCAAAGGAGGAAGGAGACCACAACTCACCTAGGAGGACAACAGAGGAAAAGATACCTCCTTTCCCACAGCAATGGATCATGACGACATAAGAAGAGCCCTGCTAGATCCAACCAATGGTCCATCTAGTCCAGCATCCTGTCTCTAACAGTTGCCAATCAGTTCCTCTGGAGAGCTAACAACAAGGCATAGAGGCCAAGACCTTCCCCTGATGTTGCCTCCTGGCTCTGGGATTCAGAAGTCTAGTGCCTCTGAATGTGGAGGATTCTCTCAGTCACCATGGCTAGTAGCCACTGATAGGCCTATCCTCCATGAATCTATCTAATCCCCATTTAAAGCTGTCTATATCTGTGGCCATCATTACATTCTCTGGCAGCGAATTCCACATTTTAATCACTCTCTGCGTAAAGAAGTATTTCCTTTTGTCCATCCTGAAACTACTGCCCACAAAAGTCATGGTGGAGACCTGCAACCAATACCCGCCTTTGCACAGCAAGCTACCAGTGGCTGGGGCCGCACTAGTGATAAAGCATTGCCTCCAACTCATGCTCAAGACTGACTGGTTTGTCTAGCCACCACTACGCCACTGCCCAAGTTATTGCCAAACTGAGCATAGTTGTATTGAAGAATGCAAATGGCCTCATGCAGAGGTGCCTGTGCTTATATCAGACTTGATCCTGCACATCTGGTAACACTGGTGAGCCATGAGTTATGCTAGGTTATTGAGAGCCAGTTTAAACAATCAGCAAAACGAAGGAGAGAAGCTTTTCCATGGTAGAACTTTAGACAGAGGTGTTACGGGGGTGGATATTGCATGTTTGAATGCTTTATCATAAGAAAGGGGGTGCATCTTTCCACCAGACGAAGCCCAGCAAGCCCAAGAGAAGAGTTCTGGCTAGCTTTTTGTCCATCATGAGATCATGGACTTTCTTCCCCCCTAACTTCATTAAAGTTGCATCCAATAAATAATACATGAAGTGTAATCTTGGCTTCAGTGCACTGACGTGATGTCACCTTATAATATAATAGTGGTTCTCAAACTGAGCAAACTGAGGACCTGTATTTCAATTTTTAAAATTTTCACGGACCTCCAAACTCTCTGTTACTGGTAACAAGCACCAGACTACCCTTTTTCATGATGCACGGGGCAAGAAAATCCAATGCTCAGAACTCAGATGTTATGGGACATTTCAAAAACAACAGCCCAGGAAACTTGCATTCTGGCTGCTTCTAAACTTTACATCATTAAGGCTAGTTTATGCAATTGGCAGAACTGGTGCAAACTGGGTGTACCATTTCCAGGTTCACTTGTATATGTGAAGTCCCCCCACCCAAAAAAAACCCTTTAACAGAATCCCTTGCGAAATGAACAAAGGTTTTGTATACACTAGTACAGCTACATAGATGTGTATGTAGTGTATGGGGTCCAGATACTTTACAAGATTCACAGGTACAGAAGGCAAGCCCTTCTTGGGCTCACCTGGCTATGGAGCCCTCTCTTTTCTTCTAGAGATTTTGTGTGTGTGTGTCTTAAAAATGTCCTACTGCTAACAGCCTGGCACAGGTCTTGCAAACAGAGGGCTGATTCCGGCACAGGTCTTGCAAACAGAGGGCTGATAGTTTCCTTGACTGAGCCCATCCATCTCATGCTAGGTCCTCCTGTTTTCCTTCTGCCTTCAGTTTTGCCTAGCATTATTGACTTTTCCAGTGACCCTTGTCTTCTCATCATCTGACCAAAGGATGATAGCCTCATTTTAACTTCTAGGCCGAGCTCAGGCTCGATCTGACTTACAACCCATTTATCTCTTTGGTGGCCCACAATATCCATAAAACTCTCCTCCAACACCACATTTCAAATGAATCACCTTTTTTCATTGTCCAGCTTTTGCACCCATACACAGTAATGGGGAAAACTATGGCCAGTGACACATCCTTACACTTATGGACCTTTTCTAAATCCCTTCATGGCTGCCCTTCCCAGTCTCAGTCTCCTTTTTGGTTGACGAGGAAGCCAAGGAATAGAAAATCTTTAACAATTTCCATTTCTTCATCGTCAGCCTTAAAGCTGTATAATTCCCCAGTAGTTATTCTAAAGATTATCGCAGGGATAAATCCAGTCATCCCA